TGTTTTTTTTTTTTTTTTTTTTTTTTCTCATAGGTTTGCAGGAGTTCTTTGTATGTTCAAGGACTTTTTCTCAGTTATGTGCAGGAAATACTCTCCTGCTTTGGGGGAAGTGGCCTTTAATGGTCATGAGCCTTGGTGACTCAGTTTCTGACTATTCTCATGGAGCATTTCTTTGTCTTATCCTCAAGTTGCAAAGGTGGTCCTGGGTGCTCCTGCACACTGCTCTGTGGCCTGGGGTGGCTGGTGTGGGGGCTGCATTGTTTCCCACGGTGTCCAGCTCTGCTCTTGCCTCAGAGGGACAAAACTGTCTTTCTCTRGCAACCGAGGTAGGCCCAGGCTGTCTGCCATTTTGGCCCCTGCTGTCCCTGATTGGGTTGGGTTGGGTGTGGTGGTGTCTGAGATGGGACCAAGGGCCTCATGCATGCTAGAAAAGCACTGAGCCACATCCCCAGCCCTATTCTTTATTATATTTAGAGACAGGGTCTCACTGAGTTGCTTAGCACCTTGCTAAATTGCTGAGGCTGGCTTTGAACTTGCCATCCTCCTGTCTCAGTGTCCTAAGCTGCAGACATGCGCCACTGCATCCAGCTATTTTTTTTTTTTAACTAATATTCACTTGTATAATTTGAAGGTGTTTCCTCCAGTTTCAACTCTCTGCATGAGTTTTTGTTCCTTTCAAGACCCATTTCCCCTTTGGGTCCTTGCACAAGTCTGGGGGTCTAGGCTGTTGTTTCTTGCATCTGGTGCGAGTCGTCTTCTGCAGGCTGGGCTCTTGGCCTGGTGCTGGGCAGAGGCTCTAGCTTCCAGGACTGCAGCCCTTCACAGGACGAGGGCTCCAGGGGCCCACAGACCTCCTGTTTATGTGAGACCCCTATGATGTTATTTTATTAAAAAGGTTAGCTTGAGAAAATTTAGGTATTTTGTTCATTTGAAAGTAATCAAGTATCATGTGTTAAGATACATTAATTTCTATTAAAGTATAACCATCTTACAAAAGAATTTGGTGCGTGGAGGAAGGTAGCATTGTTCCAGTGCCCACACCTTGTTGTTGTCTGGCCGACCTCCCTCACAGCAGGCCACTGCTCCTGCTTGCAACTGGCTGCCTTGCCACAGGCGGATGGGAGTTCTGGCTTGCACAGGGCGCAGTAGGACAGACATGCTCTGGTGCTTCACATGCATTACTGAGGTCTTCGTTCTAGTCTGGAGGACCAGTTCTTGCCCCCTGTGTGAGCACTCCACCCTGGTCCTTTAGGAAACCCCGGCTCACTGAGTTGTGCAGGTGCTTCATTGTACATTACTCATGATGCCTTTGATAACATTGCTGACCTCATAGAAATACCTTTCCCTTGTGCAGAGGCATCAGCCCAATGCTGGTGGGTGCAGGTTTTCTAAAGTTCATATTTTCTTTCACTTGAAAGCTCAGACGTTATTGCTGTCAATTTTCCTTGAAGTGATCAGCTCACTCTGTTTACTTTAGAGAAAACAACAGTCGGGCCCTGTCTCTGTGGGTTCCATATCTGCGGATTCAACCAGTCAGAGATTGAAAAAGTTAGGTGGGAAGTGGGTCCTGTACTGAACACGCACAGACTTCTCCAGCACCCCTCCTGCATGGGCTGCACTCAGCATTTATGACACTTCAGACACTAGAGTTATCCAGAGAGGACTTGATGTGTAGGAGAACAGGGATGGGTCCTGTGCAAACACCACTCCGTCGTATACCCTGAGCTTGAGCGCTGTGGGCTTTGCTATCTGTGGGGGCCCTGGAACCAGTTCCTAGAGACCCCGAGGGACACAGGAACTGCCAGGCACCCAGTTCACGGTAACTTTGAGATTTGGGCAGGAAAGACAGCCCTTTAGGGAAAACTCCTGTTCAGAGTTAAAACTGGAGGAAACACCTTCAAATTACACAAATGAATAGGAGCACCACGAGCAGACACTTTCCCTGTGATATTTGAGGCCTGTGATAAGCACCCAGGGTGCTCAACACACAGGCCTCCCCCTGCCAGAGCCTTGGAAGGGCAGGACTGGCGGCCATGAGGTTCAGTGTTCAGGGTTTCACCATGCCCAGCACTGAGTGCCAGGTTCTGCCATCACACRATAGTAAAGTCATTGTGACCCCCAGTGCTGGCATCAATGCTGTGGAAAGGGCTTGTGGCATCTTAGAGGCCCCAGGGCCTGCGCAGTGAAGCCGGCCAGACAGAAAGGCACCTGGCAGCTGGGGTGCGCCTCAGTGGCGGAGTGTGGTTGTGCATGCCCAAGGCTCCGAGTTTACCCCAGCAGCGCAGAAACAATAGAGGAGCATGAGCCAGCGGGAGGGCTGCATCCCGGAGAGCTTTAATTATTTATGGACGCTAAAATCCTAGTTCCACGTAATTTGGGGGGGGGGTACCATGAAGCTTTAGCCTTTTCATTTTTCCTTCCCTCAAGCATAAACCTGTGAAACCCATTCCTAGCTCTCGGGCCTGCCAGCTGCAGTGTGCTGCCCAGGCAGCAGGACCTCCCAGCACTTTCTCAGGAGCAGTCCTGGGAGGTCTCAGTAGATGCTGCACCCTCAAAAACACTTTGGTTTGCTCTTAACTCTGGTTGACTGTGGCCAAGTGGAGTGCTTCGTTTGGAAATGCTTTTTTCCAGCTGCAGCTGCTGGCTGYTCCCACCCTGCAGGCCCTGTCAGCAGAGGGCAGGCCAGTGTCTGGAGACTTTGCCTGTGTCCAAGCTGCTGAGGGGCTTCTTTCCCAGGCCACACACAGACTGGGCAAAGCCTCCTGTGCCATGCGCATGGGTCCTCTGCCCCTGTTGACACGGTCACAGTCTGTGCTGTTCCATTTGGCTCAACGTGTGCCTGAGTGCTTTTTTGTCTGTCTTTGGAGACAAAGACATCCACCGCAGACCCTTTGTCTTTGGGACTCTTTCTCCCCTGCTGCTAGAAAATTACTGTTTGATTTTTCTGCATCTTAGTTTTGGGGTGGGTAGCTCTGGGATGGCTGGGCCACAGAGCTGTCTGTTGCAGGGCACAGTGGCTGAGTGTGTGCTGACAGCGAGTGCCTCGTGTCCACCTGGAGCTGAGTTCAAGACAGAAATTCTTTGGTGTGAGGCTGGGATAGGGCTCTGTGGCAGAGCATTTGTCTGGCGTCTTCGAGGCCCTGGGCTCAAACCTAGCACCAGGAGTGTGTTGGGGGATGTGAGGCTGTGTCCTGGAGAGTGACAGAGAGAATCTGAGGAGCAGCACCCGGTGATCTCTAGAGGTCAGGAGTCCCCTCGGGCGGGGACCCCAAGATGAAGGCCTAGCAGAGCCAGTGTCTGACGAGGGATGTTTCTGGGTCTGTCTTTTCCCTGTGTGCTTACGGAGAGACCACTGTCAGCCATTTTGGGGATCAGGCAAGATCAGTGAAGGGCTGCAGTGAGAATCCAGAGGCCATGGGTCTGCACACAGTAGGTTGGGGTCTAGGAATCCTGGCTCTGCACTGGGGAAGGCCTGGCTATTCAGGGTGCTCTGTCCTGCAGGCTTTGCTGCATAAGGACAGACTCTGGTTGTGTGGTGGGGTAGGGACCATTGGCTGAGTGTGAGGCTTACACAGGAGGTGGGTGGTTTGCATCAAGCCCTCGCTGTCTCTTGGAACCAGCCCCTGGCCAGCAAGCCTTGTAAGATGCCAGGAAGTCATAAAACACAGGGGGAAAAAAATGCACAGTAAATGCAGTGTGTGTCCCAGGTTTCCTGGGAAATACAGGCTGGAGCTTGGGCCCAGGTGGGCAGAGCGGGGTCATGAAGCCATGGGGATCCTCGGGACTCCTCTGTGCCACAGGCCTGTGCCTGCATCCATGAGTGCCTGTGCCTGGGGCTTGATGAGAAGCAAAATGGTTCTCCTCCAGCCTTCTGTTGGGGTGCTTGCAACTGGCAAGCAGGTCTTAGAGGCTGAACCTGGGAGACTGGAGCCATCAGGCCTGCAGCAGAGGGAAGGAGAGGGGACTGCCACCTGCAACCTGAGGGCGCAGGGCCAGGTGTGGTTGTGCCAAGGGCCAGCAGCCCGACCAGGCCGTCTGCTTCCTTTCTGCCCAAGCCCAGCTGTGTGACCCACCTTGTTTCTCATCACTGCTGGTGGCCCTGGTACGGGTCTGCCTGGACCCACTCCCCACATGGAGTACGGCCACTGCTGCCCTGGAAAGAGGTCATTTAGTTGGTGTAGTGTGGCCGGTTTTTAACCCTGTGTACTCTCCGTTGAAGCAGACTGGTGACGATGACGCGGTGGCGGCCTAGAGGAGACGAGGCGCGGGAGCAGAACGATGCCCAGGGGCGCACGCTCTAGAACTCCACAGCAGGAAGACTTTTCTCCCAGCAGCGACATGGTGGAGAAACAAACTGGGAAAAAGGTAACCCCCACCTCCACCATCTGGGCGCTGCATGCTAGTGGAAGCCCCCTGCATGTGGGCAGAGAGCCACGCTCCTGTGGCTCTGAGGAGGGCCACCAGGGATGAGCTGTGTCACAGTGTCCCGCTTGCACACACTACTGAGAATTTCACTTTCAAGTCCGTTTGTTCTGTTCTGGGGGAGCATTTTTGTCCTGCATGCTAGGGGTGGCAAGTGTGGGCCCATGACCTGAACCACAGACGGGGGCTTGCTTTGTGGCTGTTGTCCATCCCATCCCCTGCTGTCTGGGAACAGGAGGGTTTTGGTGCAGCGAGTGCTGTGCACATCCCAGCAGTGCCACAGGCCACTGCCAGGAGTCCTGTGGCTGGCCTGTGTAGCCCTTCTGGCCTGTGTTCACTGCCAGGTGGGCCTCACCTCAGTGAGTCCTTGGGCACTGATGGCTTCAAGCTGCTTCTGCCCTCACCCTAGCATTTGAGCTGTGAAGACAGCCCTAAGACTGCTGCCCCTGGGCGCTGGCACTGCCTCCTCCCGCCCTCCGTCACCCCAGCCTCTGGCAGTGTTTGGGTTTGAAGTGCTTGCTGTGAGGCCAGCAGGTAGCCCTGTGTAGACATGGCTGGGTGGAGCCATATATATTCATTAAGCTTTGGTTGAACATGGACAAGCTGAATGAGCCTCTGGGACTCTTGGCTGTGGCCTATGTCCCCTGTCCTCCCCTGCTTGCTCTGTCCAGAGCGCCTTGAGCTGTGTACGGGGCAGATGTTGCAGTGTGGGTACCTGGCATGCTGAGGCATGTGTCTGGCCAGTGTCATACCCTGAGAGGGTAGACTTTACCCTGCAGGGTGTGAGCTGTGTGCTCTGCTTACCTAGCCAGCATCAGAAGCTTCTTACGTCCATGTGGTCGACACAAGCACAAGTCTCAGAACCCCAAAATGTCCATCAGAGACTGGGACCATTCTTAGACTTAGATTGGGCTCTGGAAGCAGAGTGTGGTCTTCAGCCCACAGAAGACCTGGCGGGACAGGTGTGGAGGCAGGGAGGTCAGAGCTGGAACTCTAGGTCCCCACTATCAGGCAGGGTGCAGGAGGGTGGGAAAAGGAGACCCTGGCCCTTAAGCTGACCAAGATGAGTAAGCAGTGGAGGGAGTGACTGGGCCTCCCAACTCAAAGCGGGTGGTTGACACTTGGTATCTGCTGGGCATGGGGGAAGGCCCAGGGCAGTCCTGTGAGTGAGGGCTGAGCCTTGGAAAGCAGGCTGCACCGACCTTACAGGGTCCTCTCCTGAGGCAGCTTCTGTTGTGCCACTGCACTAGGTGCTGAGCACAGAAGCAGGTTCCAGGTTGGTTCAGGTGGTTTTGTTTGGTTTTGGTACTGGGGAAGACCCAGGGGTGCTCTACCACTGAGACACATCCCTAACCCTTTTTTTGGTTTTGGTTTTTTTGTTTGTTTGTTTGTTTGTTTTTAATTTTGAGACTGGGTCTATGTTGCTTAAGGCCTTGCTACTTTGCCAAGGCTGGCCTTGAACTTGGGATCCTCCTGCTTCAGCCAGCTGATTATAGGTGTGCACCACCATGCCTGGCGTTGTTTGTTTTTTTTTGTGTTTTTTTTTTTTTTTTTTGAGGAGGGAAAGTTCATTTTGGGCTCACGGCTTCACAGGCTCAGTTAGCCAACTCCATAACTCAGTAAGATGAGGCAGAACATCATGGTGGAAGGTCATGGTGGAGAGAAGCTACATGGCTAGAGGCTGCCAAGGATACCAGGCCAAGCCCAGCGAGCCCTAAGCCAAGTCTGCACCCTGGCTGCAGGAGAGCCTGGATTAGACTTTTTTGTTTTGTTTTCCCAGTAGGTAGCTGTGTTGTTTTCCTGTGTTTGTTCTTAAAACCATCAGAGCTAAAGCCTCTTCTCAGACACAGTTGCCTGTAGGCTGCTCTGAAGAGTCCTGACCTGGTGGGTGTGCACAACAGGGGCAGGCATGTAGCAGACTCCCAGCTGCACCCATCAGGCACAGGGGCAGGCTCATGGAGAAGTGGGTGTTCCTTCAGGTCTCCTTGCAGGTGAGGACCTGCTCTGGAAGTGGTCTCTGGAATATGCAACCTGGGAGTAACCTTGGCAGGAGCCAGGAAACCCTGTACTGTTGAGTGTGTCCTGGTCCAGAGAAGACAAGGGCTGTCATGGTGTCAGAGACTGCCCTGCAAGAAGTAACATCCCTGATCTCCAGTCCAGAACTCCCTCCATTACAGGCTATTGCCCCTTGCTGCTGTGCTCAGCCCACACTACTCTGAGTGAAGACTGCAAGCCTCTTCTGGGTGTTCTCAGAGTGACCTCTAGACCATGGCTTCAGCTGGGAACATGCCCTGGTCACACTCAGTGAGCAGGAAGCTGTGAGGGGCAGCAGGGGCTCTGGAGTGAGCTGTGTCTGCATGGTGCATGCCACAGCTGGAGCACCAGCAGGACCTGCAGGCTCACAGCGAGGAAGCCTTGTGGAACCTACAGGACTGCCCTGTAGGTCCACTTACCTGGCATGCTGCTGGTGGGCATGTTCCTTAAGGGATGAGGCCATCTCTAGAGGTGGCCGTGCCACTGCTACCATGGGGTTGGTGGGGCTTCAGCTTGTACTGCTTCCTCCTGTGGTTTCCAGGCATGTTCTGAAGCCACAGGGCTCTTGGCTGTGGGGTCCCAAGGAGGAGCGTGCAGCTTCATCCAGGAGATAACAGAAAGGGGCCACAGCCCTGATGGAGTCAGCTCACCTCAGGCTCCAGATAGACTCTCATGGTGGCAATAGAGAGAGACCAGGTCTTATGGTCCCTGATGGACACCTGGAGATTCCCTGCTCGCCGTTGGGACTTCTGTCAGTCCTTTTTGCTAGAACTTGCCAGGCTTGGGTCCTCTTTTCTCCCAAATCAGTTGTGGGGCTGAGGACAGGGCCGTGGGTCATCATGAACGTGGTGGTTTCTGCTTGCTCAGCACAGCTCCCACAGACCCCTGCCCTGACTGAAATAGAGCAGCATTGAAGGGCACCTCAGCACTGCCACTGCCAGTGACCCTGAGGGTCCTCCCATGTCCCCCCCCACACACACACACACACACAACGCCTTGGGTGCAGGCGGAGTCCTGTTGGGTCATTCTTTCCCTGGACTCCTCTTTCTGATTTTAATTAATAAAATAAGGCAGAACTTTCTTGGTTTGGGGGAAAAAGGCTCAGAAAACCCCAGGACTCGGCCTTCCTCTGGTGTGGCTCTTGTAGTGGGCACTCTGTTTGTCCTGCTTTCCCTCATTCTCACCTAACCTCCCTGTAAATCCAGTCCATTTGTTTTTCTTCCAGATTCTTTTCTTTTTTTTTTTTTTAATGATAGGCAAATGCAAGGTCGCAGACATTAAAGAGGATAGTGTACAATGGCCAAGGAGGGTTTACACCAAGAATTTGAGGTTCATCTGACATCCAGAATCAGTTTATTATGACCAAAACAGAAAACCCTGTAGTTTTGTCAGTTGATGAGTGCGCATGCACACACACTTGGCCAAATCCAAGACCTTCTCATTACAGAAACCCTCAGAAAGTATATGGGGTAGAGGGGGTTCCCTTACCTGACGCACCCTGTGGAAGACCAGCTGCTGGCCAATGATGCCGTGCTAAAGAAAACCTGCCCTCAGCACCAAGCTGCTCACAGATGCCATGGAGGAGGCACGGGAGCCCTCAGATCAGCATGGGTGGCAGTGTGGAGCCATAAATGCAGTTCATGGAGCCAAAAACATGGTCAGAAGCATCAAAAACATGAATTATTTGGGGATAAGTTTAAAAGATACGCTTCAAGGTTTGAACCCTGAGAGCTACACAGATTGCTTGCTGTGAGAAGTTGGGAAGGCCTAAATAGGTGGAGAGTTTTGCCATTGGTGAGAAAGCTGAGAGCTGTTCAGGCTCCTCCCTCCCAGTGGATGTGTTGTGGGTTCAGTGTAGGACCGTGAAAACCCTGATTCCAGTGCTGTGGCTGTGTCTTTTCCTTGAGCCCCTGGAACGACCATGGCCACTGTGAAGAAACAGCACACGTAGAGCACTCGGGCTCTGCACCTGCGGTGTGGCTCCGAGGACTGTGCTCAGCAGAGGGCCGGGGCAGCTCTCTGACAGGTAGCCAGTGCCCACTGTACTGGTTGCTCCTCCTGGGTCCCTCCATGGCTGGTCACGGAGTATTACTAACCTTGGGTGGTTCCCAGCACTAGCACCRGGTAGACCAGCACCCTTTTTGATCATGCAGTTAGGACTTCATTGTTTCTTGCGATGCTGCTTGTAGTGGCAGTCATGGAGTGGTGGATGTTTAAAACAGTTCTTCTGCCAGGAGTGGCACACACCTGTCATCCTAGTGCCAGGGGAGGCTGAGGGCAGGGGTGTGGCTCAGGGGTAGCACCGGGATTCAGCCCCACCTTGGGGCAGCTGCAAGACAGCCTTTCTGTCTGCACCTCATGACGGAGTCCAGCACATTGGATCACAGCCAGCCCAGGTGCCGAGTGTCTCCAYGTGGCGTTGTCCACGGTGCTTCTTGGGGGAGGGGCTGGGATAACATTTTATGTGAAATACTTTTTGGTGAAATACAATGCACAATTGTAGCTTTTCTCCCACTTTGAAAACCAGGGACAGTCTGCATTCTGAGGAACATGCACAATGTTTTCTGGGCTCTGGGACTGTCCTTGCTGTCCCTAACCAGCAACCCCCTCTATGCCAAAGGTGGCCCCTTTTCTGTCTCTGTCTCTGTCACCACAGGTAAGAAGTGGTGATGTGAGGGCAGTGTTTTCCGGCCTGTGACTCTGCTTGGCTGTTGCATGGCCCTTTTGCGGGCACCTCTGATGGTGTCATCATTCTTCTGTTGATGAAYGTGGAGTGGGTTCCCTCTGAGCAGTCCCTGTGACCCATTGGAGTTGGCGGTCTCCTCCCTCCACACACATGGCCACACAAGGGAGCATGGATGCATCTGTCCTGTGGCACTTGCCCTGTGCTGCCTCCTAGGAGCTATCTGGCTGGGATCCATCTGGGACTAGTCATGTGGTGTGACACAGGGGCCACCTGGAGACCTGCCATGCCACCAGGCAGCCCTGGCTGTCAATTCTGCTCTGTCCCAAGGCCCCCAGAGTGCAACACCCACTCCAGGACACGTGCTTGAGTACCATCGTTTCACAGTCTTGATGTTGGCAGTGTAAGCTGTTAGCCTTGTTGCCTTGGTGTTATGCTTAAAATAATATTTCTAGTTATAGATGGACCCAATACCTTTATTCTATTTTTTTATTTTTATATGGTGCTGAGGACTGAGCTACAGCCCCAGCCCCTATTTGCTACTTTTGATCTTTTATGTACTTTTCTTTCCCTTTTTTTTTTTTTTTTTTTTTTTTTTTTTGTTTCCCTCCCTCCCTCCCTTCCTTCCATTTTTTGGTGCTGGGGATGGAACCCAGGAACACTCTACCACTGAGCTGCATCCCAAAGCCCCTGTTGTTTATTTTTTACTTTGAGTCAGAGTCCCCCTAAGTTATTGAGATTGACCTTGAATTTGTGATCCTCCTGCATTGCTGGGATTACAGGTGTGCGCCACCATGTCCAACTATTTCCATATCCATTTTCTAATAAGCTGGAGTTTGGATTGCTTTGAATGTCAGTGTGTGGAGAAATATCATAGTTTTTGAGGTTTTTTAATTCTTGAACATGATGTAGCCTTGCATCTTACTCATGTCTTTATGTTCTCTTGTTACTATTTGGTGATTTTTTATGTAGTGGGCTCAGACATCTGTTTCTGGATTTGTCCCTAGGTTTTGATGTGTGTTGTTAGTGCGTGATATTCTTGATATCCATGCCCAAGTGCTCATGGTACCGGGCACATCCAGCTCCTTCCTGTATCCAGCCGGCCCTCTAGTTCAGTTTGCAGAGCTCACCTGTGCACCTTTTTGGTCTTTCCGGAGGCAACGTGTCCTCTTGAGGTTAGTGCTCATGGTCCTTCCCTGAGGGAGAGGCGTGAGCCTGAGCTGCCACACACCCTTGCCAGCTCTACCCAGGTGTAGTTGGCTGGTGGTGTGGCACCCACACTGTGTGTCCTGGGCCTGTTTCCTCTCTTTCCTGAGGAGGACTGTCTTCCACAGCTGCCTGGGCAGCCCTTTGCTCTTCTGAGAGGTTGCTTTGCTTTGGCTTTCGATTTCTCAGCAGGTGTGGGCGTGGGTGTCCCTGCCAGGGTCTCTGCTGTGCAGCTGCCCTCAGCTGTCCTGCAGTGCTGGCTCTGTCTGTGCGGCCTCCTGCTCACTGCTGTGGCTGTGTCTTTTCCTTGAGCCCCTTAATGTGTTTGGTGCACCAACTTTTTTACATCTGCATTCTTGACTCCATCACCCTGGCTGTGTGCTGCCTTCTTACCCATCCATCCATCACTGGTGCCTGGTGAGCGCTTGCCCTCTGTTCGGGAGGAGCATGGCTCACACTGTGCACAGAACACCCTTGTTGCGTTCTGGAGCCAGGGCTGTGGCAGCCTCAAGAGTGAGTCGGGAACGTGTACTGTTTCTCTTTTCTCTGAAAGAGTTTGTGCTAGGAGTGGTATTATTTCTTCTCTGARTTCTTGGTAAGGTCCACCTAAAGACCAGGCAATTTCTTGGTATGAAAGTATTTAATCAGAGACTTGGAGTTTTTGTTCCACTCTTCCCTGGTGTTGGGTGGCACAGTTCACGGGTGCCTCCTGCTGGGAGATGCCTGTGCCCATGCAGAAGGGCGGGGAGGTATGGTGCCTGGTGCTGGGTGCTGCGCTTGCACACAGCACCTCCTGGACACCCTTCCTTGTGCTGGTCTTATTGCCCTGGCTGTGTCTGAAGCACTAGGGGCAAACAGCTAAATTGGAGGAACAGCACTCCTTAACTGCGGGGCTGGGAAAGGCAGAGGTGGAGCAGTCAGCAGGAGGCAGGGCCAGGGAGACCTACTGCTGGCACGGCCCCAGGCAGCGCCCCACCTCATCCAGCCAGGAGCTTCTCAGAACCCCAGTGCCTTGAGGGCAGCCCTGCAGCTGTGCTGTTTGCCAGCAACTGGCCTGGGGACACGCCCAAAGAACTCCAGTGACTGTGGCTGCTCCTCTGAAACGGCAGTGTGCCAGTGCCTTCGTTCAGCCTCCCACCCAGCCGCAGAGCAGCTGGCCCTGAGGGAGGCCACAGCCTGTGACTCCATGTGGGCTGAAGAGGCCCAGGTTTCAGCTGGCTGCAGCTGATCAGAACTGGTATGCCTGTACTGTGCACCCACCCAGCCCAGCCTGGAGCAAGGGGTCCCTCCTGGCACTGACCACAGCCACCTCAGAGCCACCTTTGCCTCAGGGGACCAGCTTCCCCTCTCAGCATGATTGCCAGCTCTTATAGGGGGCACATTTGTCACTGTGAGTGTCCTCCGCCCTCACCCTCAGGACCCAGCTGCTCCTTCCTGACCTTGCTCCAAAGCTTCACTTTCTACCAGGTGAACGTGCATTCTGTGACCTCAGAGCCTCAGGTAGACACTTGGCTCACGTGGCACATTATGGGAGACTGTAGCCTGAGTGTATGTGTGAGGTGTGCCCGGCTTCCTCCTCTGGAGTGGACACTATGCCCACTCTGTAGTGGTGCGCTGAGCCTGACCCAAGGTCGACCAGCTGGTAGAGGAGGTGGAATTGGAGCTGCTGGGTCCTCACCTCATGAGTGACACTCCTGCCAGTCCCTCTGTGAGGGCCGCAGTCAGGTGGTCAGCCTGGGCTCCTTACAGCCAGGCTGAGGGTCCAAGGTGAGAGCAGAAGGGCAAAACTGCAGCCTTGCAGCATCCAGTGGGCACAGGGAAGGAAGGCATGGCATCCAGTCACAGGGAGCTGGACACTCAGTGGGTGTTGATCACCTTCAGTACCCAGCCACGGTCAGGCTTCAGCTGTGGGTCCTCTACACACCAGTACCCGTGTGGCTCTGCACTGTGGCCTGGGGCAGGAGGAGTAGTTGATTGCCCCCCAAAAGAGGTTCATGTTTTGTGGCATATGAAGTGAGATTGTGGCCAGTTTGAGTATTTTGAGGATTTAATCTGGAAGTGATTTCTGAAAGCAACCTCTTTTTCCCCCACTAGGATAAAGATAAAGTTTCTCTGACCAAGACYCCAAAGCTGGACCGCAGTGATGGAGGAAAGGAGGTGAGAGAGCGAGCCACCAAGCGGAAGCTGCCCTTCACTGTGGGGGCCAATGGAGAACAGAAGGACTCGGACACAGGTACCACACTGGGCCCCTCCTCCCAGCCCCGCCCCTCCTGGCTCCATGCCGCACCGGCCTATCCAGGCACTGCCTCTTGTTCCCTGCATCGGGCTGATGTGGAGCTGTAGGAAAGCCTCGCCCCAGGCTCTTCTGTGGGGCTGCAGCTGCCCTGCTCCGGGTGGACTGCTGGAGGGCCACACACAGCAGGGATGTGGTTTCCCCACATAGATTAAGCTCCATTGCTTGTAGTGAAAGCCAGAGGGAACTCTGAAAGTGCCTTGTGGTCTTCCTAAGCATAGGTGGGTCTGAGGGTGTTGAGCAGGAGCGTGCAGTGTGTGCGCCCAGGCTGGCCATCTTGAGCTGCTCGTGGAGAGTCTCTCCCAATGGCCTCCCCACCTGCTGGTCTTCTGAGTTCTCTGTAGCCCCAAAAGGTAGAACTGAGGGGCAGCAGAGCACCAAGATGGCCCCAAGACCTGAGGTGAACTGGCTGAGGGCCCTGGGCTCCCCCTGGCATCCTTTGGCACCAGGAAGGGAGGCACACACCGAGAACATGAGGCTGAACGAACATCCTCACTTGCTTGGAGGAGAGGTGGCTGACGCCGCAGCCTGGAAATGAGTGTCCACCCCCAGTTTTCACCAGCAGAGTCCAAGGAACTGCCTTTGGGCCCTTGTGGTGGTCGCAGGTCCTTCTCCCCCACTCTAGCACAGAGCTCACAAGAGCTGGGGGGACTAGCTAGCTGGAGGCCAGCAGAGGGGCCGGTCTCCACCTCAGAGCAGGCAAGTGGCAAGATGGGCAGACATGATCTATGGCATGTCTGGGCACGGTCAGGGGCTGGTGGACGTGTGCATGCCGTGCACCTGGAGGAGGTCAGGCCAGGCCTGGAAATCCTAGTCCTGGTTCGGTGCCCTGATGGCATGGCTGCAGCAGGGGTGCTGTTCACGGTTGGTTATTGGCTTTTTACCCTTCTCTTTTTCTTCTTTGCGGTGCTGGGGATGGAACCCAGGGCCTCGCACAAGCTAGGTGATCACTGCATTGCTGAGCCACATCCCCAGGCTGGTTATGAGCTCTTTGGACGTAGATGGTGTGAGGTTGGAAGGAGGCCTCTGAGAGAAGAGCTGACGTGCACGTGCTGGTGCTTCTGCAACCTGGGAGAGCCCTTTGGCTTGTGGAAGGGGTTACCCGTGCCCAATACCCTGCTGAGCAGCCTTGTCCTGCTGGTCTAGAATGTATTCCGTTCCAGTTCGTCACATTTTGATATAGTGGTATAAGGAGGCCATTCCCCAGGGGCTCCAGGAGGTCTCGGGGGCCCCTTCATTGATGGTGAGCATCTGTGAGGCTCAGCCTGCTGCACCTTCATTCTGTGGAACCTGCAGAGATCCTTAGCCTGTACCCAGTGTCCATGCAGTTCTGTTGTTCACACTGCATCCTGGTTCCAGCAGGCAGAGGCCCAGCTGGGCACAGGGGAGATTTCGGCCAGGGGAAAGGGCAGGAAGTTTTGCAGTGGATTCCCGCYGGGGCTGTGCGGCAGGATTTGCAGGTGCAGTGTGCCTCCTGCTCTGGGGCTGGGTTCTCCCAGGACCTGTTCTGACATGGCCTCCTTGCACCTCTGCTTCCTCATTGTGACAGAATTAGACCTCCCATGAGATGGCGATGCGACCGTGAGTGTGCAGATGGCATCCTGCATTCATTCTTTTGGTGCTGGGGATGGAACCCAGGACCCCAGATATATGCTTGGCACATGTTGGCACCCTGAGCTGCTCCCCAGCTGGTTAATCTTGGTCTTGCTCCACACCTTCTGCCCGCACTCACCTGTTACCTGTCTCCTTCCTTCTCTGCTGAGCTGGGCGCTGAGCTGGGCCCTGGCTCACTGTACCCAGAGGAACAGTGCTTGCTGAGGAAGCGGGAGTGAGAGGCGCATCTGGCTCTGGGGTGGCATCCAGCCGCCTCCCTCAGGAAGGAAAATTTACACAGAGCAGGGGGTTCATGCAGTGATTTTTTTTTTTTTTTTTTTTTTTTTTTAAATAAAGAAAGGTTTGTTTTGGCTCACGGTTCTGGAGGCTGGGAAAGCACTAGCATCTGCAGGATTTTTATCCTGGTGAAAGAGTGATTGAGAAAAACACCCCCTGGTCTTCTCAGCTGAGGAGGAGTCTGCCCTCCCTGAAGGGATATGGCTTAGCCCCCTGGCTGGAGGAAGCCAGGACAGGCAGGTGCAAAGCCCTGCATCCCAGCCCCACTAGCCCTCCTCTTGCAGCGTCCCTCCAGCGCCCTCTGCTGAGAAGGCCTGGAGCTTTGCCATGGGAAGGTGGCCTAGCTGAGGAGGGAATCAGCCTCCCACAGACAGCTTCTCTGGCTGTGCCCTGAGAGGCAAGAAGTTGCTGCAGGAGTGGTCTCCTGCTTCCTGACCCCAGTGTGCATGGCCTAGCCCACTGGAGGTACAGCCCCCTGGTGCTGAGTCAGGCTGGATGGCTTGCCAGGAGCAGTACAGTTGGGCCTGTTGTGAGCAAAACGAGCAGGACCAGCCCCTGAGGTTGTGCAGCACAGCACCATCACCTCTGCTAAGGCCTCTGGGCACAGTGGGAAGCACAGCTGTGGAAGCTGGCTGTCTGCTTAGCAAAAGGAAGCTGCCCAGAGATGGTGCTTGCCATAGGCTCAGAAGAAGGGTTAGGGTCAGCAGACAGTCCTTCCTCAGACCAGGTCAGCCCAAGGAGACTCACCTGCTTCCTTCTGACTTGTTCAGGCCCTCTATCCCTCACTGCCTTGGTCCAGTTTTAGTGGGAAGAGCTTTGTCACCACAAGAACTCATGACGGAATTGATGTCCTGCATTTGCTTCAGATGATACTGTCTGTGCACCCATGTTCCCCATGTCTTAAAAGTCTGTGAACATTGTTAGGTATTCCCTGATGGGGGAGTTCCACACAAGCCTGCCACTCCATCAGCTGTGACCCTTGGTCTCCCTTCTTCCTGCCTGGGACACCAAGAGGGACACACCTGAGAAGAGAAGCCACCGTGTCAGAGAAGTCTGCGGCTGGCGGCTCTGTGGAAGAGGGAACATTGCTTGCTTGGCTTTCCTGGTTGAGCAGGGCACCAGCCCCTGGATATCTACAGCGTGTTGCCATGAGTGGTCAGTGGTAGACGGGTTTCCGGGGGTCGCGGCCCCTTTAGCTTTTGCTGGGAAAAGACTGTTCTTGCACCATAGGAGGGGTGGCAAGGCTGTGCCAGCCAGGACACTGATCTTTGGCTTGGTCCCTAGGTGGAGAGCAGGGTGTGCAGGCCTCCGGCTCGCTGGCTGGGAGCACAGCCAGGGCGGGCTTCTCCGCCTCACCATGTGGCTGTGGACAGCAGCCTCGGGCCCCAGTCCCGTTAGCATGGTACTAACAGGCTCCCAGCAGCACCCTGCCAGGTCGTACCCCAGGACCCCTCCAGCTCCCCCAAGGCATTACAGGGAGGAGGAGTCTCCCACTGTCTTGAGACCTTGGTGGATGAGGGTGGATGAGGGTGAGTGGCCAGGTCTTGGTTGCACAGGGAGGATTCTGGAATTGGCCCAAGAACCACCTGTGGGCACTTGGGATGAGACATGTCCAGGTGCAATGTTTTCCATGATTGAGATGCCATGATCAGCTTCTGTCCTGCTGTTTCTTGGCCATTGTTCCCATCTAGACCTGGGCAGTTCTGTTTCTTCTTAAACCAAGGGGAGCATGAACACCAAAGGAACCCTGGGGCCGGTAGTTGGGCCTACAGCATGACCCAGTGAGTCAGGGGCCAGCAGACACCCAGCCTAGTGCTCTGCTGGGAGTTTTACAGCTTCTGGAGGGGAACCACATGGGGCTAGGCAGGCACTGGGCCAGGCTGCCTCATCCTGGTGCCCCACTGCAGGCTCTGGGCAACCTGCCCACCTTGAGTTGCCCTGTTAGCCGTGGGGGGAGCAGCTGCAGAGGTGCAGGGCATGTAGGTGGGATGGGTGGGCACAGTGCAGGTCTTGCTGCATGTCCACCTTGGGTCTGCTCACATCAACATGGCTTCTTGGCTTGTTGTGCTGAGTGTGATAGTGGTCAGGAAGTTGTCCTCCTGGTGCCAGTGTCACTTTTCAATTCTGGCCTGTCTGCTGCTACAACCTGTAGTCCTGTGCCTCATGTGAGTCTAGAGATGCAGAGTCAGGCAGCCAGGAGCCACCATGCTACAGGTGAAGGCAAAAGGGGAGAGGACCCAGCCCCTGCCCAGAGGGAGGAGCCAGGTTGAGGCTGGAGACTGGGTCACAGCATATGGCGATGGGGGTCTCAGCATACGGTGCAGGGTACAGCACATGGATTCAGGGTCTTTTTTCTTTAAACAATCATTGGCAGTGACTGAAGGAAGAAAAGACGGGTCAGGAAATGGGATCTAGTGTGGGTGCCAGCTGTAGGCGGGCTGCCGAGGGCACGCCCTGTGTGTCTCTATTGGTCTCTTCTGGAGTTTCAGCCCAGGCTTAGGGACAGGTTATTGTCTCTTTTGTAACCAGTGATCTGGTGCATAGGTTGTACACCTCTGGGGCTTTATGATAGGAGTGCTGTGCTTCATGACCCCAGACGTGGACTAGGGCCGGTGCTTGGTCTGGCAGGTAAAAGGAAGGGAGCTGTCTATGACAGGAAACTGCACCATAGCATGCTTGGCTGATGTGCACAGGAGTCTCCTGTTTTTCAAAACGTCACCATAGCAGTGCTCCTCTGGAGAGCAGAATAAAGAGTATTCTGCAATGGTGCATTAGTCCCTCTAATGTTCCCATCTTGGCAGTAAAGTATACTGTGTGAGCTAAGTGCATGCACCTATTAGCATCCAGGCCCATACCCTGAGGCTGTCCCTCAGGGGCTGAGCAGCAGGCCCCATCACTGTGACACACTGGGCTATTGGGAGGGGCCCGGGCCGCGTCCGCAGCCAAGCTCGSAGTCCCTTTGGGCAGGTTCTGAAAAGGAAGGAGAGTCATGCCCTTTCCTCTTGTAGGGCTGGCATTTTGGTTTGTGCTTCCTTATGCCCCTGGAAGTGCCACGTGCCACCTGAGGCCTTTGACTAGAGCTAGGACAAGTGCTAGTGCCCAGGCAGAATGACAGACGGCAAGGCCTCCTGCTGTCCCAAGAGGCTCCGCAGCCCGAGGGACATCACACCCTGGAACTACTGAGCATGAAAAGTACACCGGTGGATTATAAGAGAAGAATTAAAAACAGAAGCAAGAAATAAAAGACTACAAAACATTATGCAGATTTATGTTTTTAAGTATCAAATGGAATGTTTTAAGTATCAAATGGAAATGAAAGTTATAAACACTAAAATTGAAAACCAGTGTTCAGACTGTGTAGCTAATAATAAAGAATGAGCTAATTTGAAGTTGTAGGTGTAGGATAAAGACGGGATAGGAGGTGTGGACGCAGTGGGAGAAGAGAATCAGGGGAGAATGGGCTCAGGTTAGGCCAAAGTGAGAGGACGCAGAATCTAAAGGCTAGCGGCTGAGACCTTTCCAGAGTTCCTGGGAAAGGAATGGGTAGCGAACGTAAACAGGAAGAAAGCAATCAGAGGCAAGCCTCTTGTCCTGCGTCCCAGAGACCCAGGAGCGAGAATAGCCAGGAGGAGATGCTGCACAGCTCTGGCCACCCCAGCTCTCCTTGTTATCAGAGCACGCTGGGCCTCAGGAAGGTCTTATCCCATTGGACACAATGGCTGGAAGTGGACTCCTGAAAATAGGCCACCTCAGAACAGAYCACCCCTGCCACCCACTCGGAGGGAGGCCCCACCCAGCAGTGCTGGGCAGTGGGAGGAGCCAGGGTTCCCAGGCACACGGGCGCAGGCTGAGGATGGTGTCCCGACTTACATCAGAGGCAGAGAAAGACTGCAGAAGCACAAGGTGCTGCCACATCCCTTGTATCTTGGAGAAGGTGGGTGGGCCTTCCAGCCGGGGCCATCCCTGGAGAAGTGCCACCCTAGCTTCTCTGGGGGAGAAACAGGGAATGCATGGGAATGGGGACCAGTTGCATAGGCTGGAGGGCCTGGCTTGTCCCCTGCTATCTCCCTGGCCTCTGTGCTGGGCTCTACACCAAGTGCACCCAGCCTGTCGAGCACAGCTTGAGGGGACATGAGGGCCGTGGACAGCCAGAGACACAGTGACCACAAGTGCCCCCTCTGCTGCACTGTAGGCTGCCTGTCTTCCCGGACCTGCCCGTGTTCTACTTTGTAACTTGGAAAAGACCATTTAAAGTTCACATGAAGTTCACTCGCTTCCATTTGGATAATGGAATTTGTGGGTGTCCCCATCAGCATCTAGGAGTGGCTCCTSCTGTTCCCCGCCCCACTTCCTCACCCTTGGTCACGACCCAGCTGGGGCCAGGCTGTGGGAGGAGGGTGAGGGGACTGTGGCCACTCTGGGTCTTCTTCGGTGGGCATCATCTCGGCCAGGCACTGAACCCAGGGACAGAAAGTGGATCCTTGTGGGTGCTGATTGCCACGGCCTCTTGGAGAAAGCTGCCTTTTGTGGAGACGGTGGCTCTGAGGTTATCAGACTGGGGTTTTTCCTGTTAGGACAAACCTCGTTGAAGGTTGGGCAGAGCTGTGTGGGGTGTTCCTGTCAGGGAGAGCCTTGTTCCTGAGGGGTGGGACGGGGCCCCCGAGAAGGGCATCATGCTCCCCCAGCACCACAGGGGCAGCTGGAAGCTCTTGTGGCTAAGCACAGGTGTAAATTCTGTCCGCCCTCACTGGGGCTCAGGAGAAGCCAAGGGACGGTGCTGCTCGTCAGTGGGCCACAGGGGGGACAGCTGGCCTCCTTGTCCCTGGAGCCCAGGCCTGACTCGGTCACTGTGGCCCTGTTGCTTCCTGCCCACCTGCGTGGCCCACCGTCTGCAGGTCTGGAGCGAGTGTTGTGTGCTGCCTTCTCTGTCCCTCAGAGGAAGTGCAGGTAGGCCTGGAACCGGGCAGCCCCAGCCAGCCTCAGGCCAGCCACTGGTGCACTTCCCTGGACTCCTGGGCCATCTTAAGAGGAGCATTTGCTGCACGGCTAAGGTGGCAGAGTCGCTCAATCCCAGGAGTGAAAGGCCAGCCTGGGYAGTACCCCGTCGTCCATTCACCACGTGGAGGTGGTCCCCTGGCCTGTGACCKGTGGAGTCACTGTGTGATCGCCAGACATCGCCTGCAAGCAGGATCTTGCCGTACCGTGCTGTACCGAGGCTCTCGCCGTGTCCTTACGGGGCGGGGTGTGGGGGTTCATGGCCCCCAGAGGTGTTGTCCCCTATACTAGGTACCTGCTATAGGGACAGGTCTTGGCTGCACAGAGGTCCTGGGCAGACCTATGGCTCCACGACGTGTGGACCCCTCCTCCTGGAGACAGGAGAACTGGTGGGCACTGAGCCCCCACCTCATAGGGATGGCAGGTCCTGGAGCACCAGGAGATGCACCCAGTATTGCCTGGGCTGGTTCTGTCATTGTCAGGACATAGCCACAGGACATGTAAAGGCGTGTGTGTGGCCAGCTCAGTGGCAGGTCAGTGCAGGGACACAGAAGGTACAAGGCATGTGCACAGAGAGATCAAATGGAAACCTGATGCCCTGACTCAGTCACTGTGGCCCTGTTGCTTCTACGGGGACCTAGACATATAGGAGGGTGATCTGGCTGCGCCCCTGTCACCTCGTCGGTGGCTGAAGTTGACTTGGCTCTTCCAGCTGGTGTGGCAGGTGTCCCTGCCCTAGCCACTCCACATGCATCCCTCCTGAGGCTGCGTGCTGGGTTGAGAAGATGGCCTTCCCTCCCTGGTTGAGGGCACTGAGTAGCTGTGGCCCTGCCCCAGCCTGCGGAGGAGCTGTATATTCTGCAGGCCTGGTCCAGGCCCCCTTGGGAGGACCTTCCTTTCTCCAACCTGTGTGGCACAGCTGGCTCTAGAACTGCTGGGCATCTGGGGTTCAGGCAGCTTGGCTGAGCAGTTGGCACCCTCAGGCACATGCTGAAACACGCAGCCTGCATTCCCAGTGAGTCACAGATTGGGTTTTTAAAGASGCAGCCTAACCTCTCTACAGGACACCTTGGTGGCAGAACAGTGGGGTGGAGCAGAGCTGAGCAGGCAGCCCTCTGGAGACCAGCATCTTGCGGGACCCCAGACGTGCAGTCCACTCGGGCCACCTCCTCACTGCCACCCACTCCCTAGGGGCAGACTCTGGTCACCAAGGAAGCAGTTTAGTCCCGCAGAGGGGCTTCGTGGAAGTGAGGGATGGAGAGAAAGAGGGCATGCTCAGACCTGCATTTCCCACAGCGGTCCTCCCTGCTACTGCGGCTGCCCCCCCCCCCCCAATGGCCACAGAGATCCCTGAATCGTCTTGGCCCCGCACTGGGCTTCAGAACAGCAGGGTGTTGAGCAGCCAGGGTCTTGCTCCTGGCCTCCATTACAGCAGGTGCTGGGCAAGGAGAGTGTGGGGTATTCACCGCAGTCATGGAGTCTGGGGTGTCTGCTCCCCACCCCACCTCTTAGGAGCAGCAGCACAGTCTCCGTGCTGGAGGCCGCAGGGTGTTGCGTCATGGGTCAGAGGCGCCCAGAACTTGCTTGTCAGGAGGAGGCAGAGGTGGAAGGAGAAAGCTGTTTCGCCGTATCTCGTTAGTGCTCTGTGTTGATACCTTCAGATGCCTCCAGCTCAGTCCATGTTGTGGTACTGCAAGGCTGGTACGCTCCTCGAAGCACCACGGCATGAAATGGAGGTTCCTAGAAGCAAGAAGAAAGGTACAGTACTGACAAGTTGGCCTTGATTTATTTATGTATTTTAAACTCTGTCTGCCATTTTACATCTGCATTGTTTGTTTGGAGGAGGGCTGGGAAAGAGGCGTTAAACTGCAGACACATGTGCTGCCAGGTCAGCAGTGCCGACCATCCGCTGCTCCCGCCCGCGGGTCGGAGGCGGCTGCGGTGAGCAGACGTTGGTGGAGGCCAAGGTTCAGCAGACCTGGTGGGCTGGCAACAGGGTGTCAACTGTGTCTCTCACAGCTGCTGCTCTCAGGTGGGGCGGTGCCGGCGCTGCCAGCCACTGTGCCTTGTCCCTCGCAGGCCTCCCTACTGCTCTGTGAGTTGTTGGGCGGGACGCAGGGGCTCTGGAATGCCAGGCGAGGCCCTGGCTCTGAGGACTTGGCATGAAGTCTCCTCTCCTCTCCTCTCTCCCCCACCCATTGCACAGAGAAACAGGGTCCTGAGCGGAAGAGGATCAAGAAGGAGCCTGTCGCCCGCAAGTCCGGGCTGCTGTTCGGCATGGGGCTGTCTGGGATCCGAGCTGGCTACCCACTCTCTGAGCGCCAGCAGGTGGCTCTCCTCATGCAGATGACAGCKGAGGAGTCTGCCAACAGCCCAGGTGAGCCCTGGGGCCTTGGGCCTGGGAGGCACAGGGTCTGCTTGGTATGGGGCCCCGTGCAGAACCCCTTCACCTTGTGGAAGCGGCCAGGTTCTCCAGGCCTCCACCGCTCGGCGCCTCCTCCAGTAACGCCCCACCTGTCCCCTTGGCCTGCAGTAGACACCACACCAAAGCACYCCTCCCAGTCTGCAGTGTGTCAGAAGGGAACGCCCAGCTCTAGCTCAAAAACCAAAGACAAAGTCAACAAGAGGAACGAGCGGGGCGAGACCCGCCTGCACCGTGCTGCCATCAGGGGGGATGCCCGACGCATCAAGGAGCTCATCAGCGAGGGCRCTGATGTCAATGTCAAGGACTTCGCAGGTAGGTGCACGTGCCCTGCCCATAGGCAGAAGCAGAGGCTGCCAGGCCCTTGTGTGTATGTGGACAAGGCTGGTCCTGAGAGGGAGGATTCTCTGGGAAAGGGCTTCAAAATACAATCTTTTTTATTTCTAAGAGAACTGGGTTGTTTTTTTGTTTGTTTGTTTTTAAGTATCTCCCTGCTGCTGTGTCTGCCAGGCACAGCTCCAGGCTCCTGGGGGGTCTTGCCCACTGTTTTTAGATGCAGCGTGCACACCTCAGCAGAGGGCGCCTCTATACTGTGACTGGGCACTCGGGTCTCGGCCTGCCCCGCTTGCCCTATTAGGGACATTGGGAGGCACTTTTAAGTGAAATAGAGCAGAGGCGCCTCTCCAGACCTGGCACGGGCTCGTGGTGAGAGTCTAGTGCTGCCTGCTACCTAGCTGCCCTGTGGAGGGCCTGGCTCCACAGCCTCCCTGCAAGTCCGAGTCAGGGCCTCACGCCCTCTGTGGCTGCCTTCTTAGCCTGTTTCTCTGGTGCTAGTTAACCAGCTGTGCCGGTGCAACTTATGTCCCGTGGGCCAAGGCTGGCAAGCTGGGTGTCAGTTGCAAACAGGTGCAGGAGTGTGGCTCTTGAGGACTCAGTGACACACGTGCTAAGTGTCTGCTTCTAGGCTGGACAGCGCTGCACGAGGCCTGCAACCGTGGCTACTACGACGTCGCCAAGCAGCTGCTGGCCGCAGGCGCAGAGGTGAACACCAAGGGCCTGGATGACGACACACCACTGCACGACGCTGCCAACAACGGGCACTATAAGGTTGGCACCTCCTGCCCCCCTGCTCCTGCAGCCTGCAGGCTCCCCTGAGGCTTGGCTGCACTGCCTGGAGCACTTGCTTGTAGGGGTATCCTCCATCCTTGGCCAGGCTGGATCTTGCACAGGAACGTCTGTCCCTAGTAGGAAGATGGCAGTGTGTGCTGCTGATCCCATCGTCCTCACTGTGGTCCATTGCACCGGGAGGGCAGGTCCAGGTCTGGACCATGGGAGGCTGAGGCCAGGCCCACCCCAGGCTCTGCCTCCTGGGCCAGGCTTGCCTCCAGCTCTGAGGCAAGATACAGGATGAGCCGGCTGTGCTGCTTCCTGCTGAGGGGACACCTTTGCCAGAGCCCCTTGAGCCACAGCCACAGGCGGGACAGTCCTCGCAGGTGAGGATGATGGTGCCTCGGCACGTACCACATCTGCCGAGTTCTTGGTGTTCCTACAGAGCAGCCCCTGCCTGGCTGTTCTGGAAGGGTTTCAGGAAGCCATGACTCTGGGGAGAGGGGTTGCTGCAGGGGAGGGGCGGCCAGGAGGGTTCCTAGGGAGGTCTTGACTTTGGCCCCATGTTTGACAGAGGAGCTGCTATTCCAGTGGTAGGTGAGAGGATGGCGTCATAGCGCGCTTTGGGGGCTTTGTTTTTGTGCCCTTTCTTTCCTCCCATACTGGGGCTTGAACCCAGGGGTGCTTAACCACTGAGCCACAGCCATAGCTTCTTCTCATTTTGAGATAGGGTCTTGCTGAATTATTGAGGCTGGCCTTGAACTTGTGATCCTCCTGCCTCCCTAGTAGTTGGGACTCTGGGTGTAGCTACTACACCCAGCTTGTTTGTTTTTTCAAAAGGGTCATTTTAGAGAAAGGGACTTAGTAGAAAATACAGTATCTGAGATTTACTAAGAAAAACTTTCTGGGGGTGGGCAGGAGTGAGTCTGAAGTGAACCTGGCTGAGAGTAGAGGGGTCACAATCTGGACCTCTGCACTCCTGGGATGTATCAGCCACTGTGGAAACAGGGAGGCCTGCTGGGGACAGGAGGCAGAAGGGACAGGAGGGACTTGGCCTGTGTTGGCCTTAGGGTAGGCCCAAGGCTGAGGCACCTGGTGACCTCCACCAGCAAGATATAGCAAAGAACCCACTTTGGCCATCAGCCACCTGAGGAAGGAGGCCGAGCCAGCGAGACTGGCTCCCCAGACCTGAGGTGGGTCGTGCCCTCTGTCGTAGCCGCAGCTGCAAACGCAGATGTGTAGGTGCTGCTGACGTGCGGCCAGTGGGAGCTGAGAGAGGAGACAGCCATTGTGAGCAAGCACCTGGTGGCGCAGGCAGATGAGACACAGGTTGCTGATCGTAATGATCGAACCAGGCTGTCGCACACCACCAGAGCACTTCTGTCCCTCATAGCCACCCTCCATGTGACTCCAAGCAAGGAAGAGATGGCCTTATTTTCTCATGTAAATGAAAATAAATAAACCAGCTTGCAGAAACTTTGTCTTTGTTCCCTCTATTCTGTACCCCATGATCTCCTCCACCCGCCAGAGCTGCGCACCTGTGGACCCCGCCCGCTGCTGGGCTCACTGTGGCGGGAGGGGGGTCTTGCTGAGAAGATTCCAGGAAGCGGTGCACAACTTGCAGAGGAGCACCAGAGAAAAATGGAAGGCAGTGAGGGCGGAGGAGCCCTCCTGTGGAAGAGGACGGCCAGCAGGGTGCACCCAGGGACACGGCCAGCGGCTGCTGAAGGGCACTTAATGGCCGGCTGCTGGGCGGAGCGGTCCCCCAGGGGAATCCTGTGTTGGCCGAGAGGCTCCCTGACGTGGCTGTCGTGTCTTGCAGGTGGTAAAGTTGTTGCTGCGGTATGGAGGAAACCCTCAGCAGAGCAACAGGAAAGGGGAGACYCCGCTGAAAGTTGCCAACTCCCCAACTATGGTGAACCTGCTGCTGGGCAAAGGCACGTACACCTCCAGCGAGGAGAGCTCCACGGGTAAGCCTGGCTGTGGGCGGACAGCGGGGCGGGCCTCCCCTGCCACGGGCAGCCCTGCAGCATCTGCATGTGGTGTTTCCCTGCAGATGGCCACGCAGGGTCTCCCAGCCTCCTGGGGGCCTGGCGCCTTCAGGAACTCCGGACTGCAGGAGCCACACCTGGGGCCTGGCTGCCGAGAAGCCGCGGTCTCTGCCGGGAGGCCAGCCCCACCTCTGAGCAGACTTCTYGGTTCCCTCTGCTGTGGCTGGCCTCAGATGGGATAGATCAAATGACGTGCTTCTCCAGAAGCAGGGGCTGGCCAGCCCTGCCCTCCTGGGTGACCACGCATCCGGGGAGGCCCTTCCTTGCTGCAGCGGCAGAGCTGCCCCACCCTGATCTGGGAGAGTGGCTCTGAGCCTGCCTGACCTCTCCCTTCCTGTCCCCACAGAGAGCTCCGAGGAGGAGGACGCCCCATCCTTTGCACCTTCCAGCTCAGTTGATGGCAACAACACAGACTCTGAGTTTGAGAAGGGCCTGAAGCTCAAGGCCAAGAACCCAGAGCCTCAGAAGACTGTGACGYCTGTCAAGGACGAGTATGAGTTTGATGAGGACGATGAGCAGGACAGGGTCCCTCCCGTGGACGACAAGCATCTGCTRAAGAAAGACTATAGGAAAGAACCCAAGGCCAGCAGCTTCGTGTCAATCCCCAAGATGGAGGTCAAGAGCTATGCCAAGAACAGCACCACCGCGCCAAAGAAAGCCGCCCATCGCATCCTGTCCGACACCTCAGACGAGGAGGACGCGGGTCTGGCTGTGGGTGCGGGGGAGAAGCTGAGGCTCTCAGCGCACACAGTCCTGCCCGGCTCGAAGGCCCGCGAGCCCCCTGCACCCAGGCAGCAGAAGGAGAAGAGCAAAGTGAAGAAGAAGCGGAAGAAGGAGGCCCGGGGCAAGGAGGTGCGGCCTGGGAAGAGGAGTGACAAGCTGTGCTCCTCCGGGTCCGAGCGCGCATCCTCCGAGAGCGAGGAGGACGGGGACTCGGTGGGGAGCACGGGCTGCCGCAGAGGCTCCCCCCTGGTGCTGAAGGACACATCACTCTTCAGCTCGCTGTCAGCCTCCTCCACCTCGTCCCATGGCACCAGCCACGCCGACCAGCACAGCAAGCACTGGCGCGCAGACAGCTGGAAGGCGGTGTCCTCCCCTGCCTGGTTGCAGGTCAGTTCGCTGTCGGACTCATCAGGCACCGGCCTGACAAGCGAGTCAGACTGCTCCTCCGAGGGCTCCAGCGTGGAGTCCCTAAAGCCCGCGAGGAGGAAGCAGGAGCACCGCAAGAGGGGCAGCCTGCAGAGCATGGCTCCCGAGAAGAGGGGCGGCTTCCACCCCAGCGTGGACGGCGCCGTGCCCAAGCTAGACAAGGAGGGAAAAGTCRTCAAGAAACACAAGACGAAACACAGACACAAAAACAAGGAGAAGGGGCAGTGCCCYGGCCAGGAGCTGAAGCTGAAAAGCTTCACCTACGAGTACGAGGACCCCAGGCCCAAGGCCGACAAGGCCGCCCTCCTGGACAGCGACRTCTCCGCGGAGGGCAGGCTGCGGGTGTTGAAGCATGACCGAGACCACCTCAAGAGGGAGGAGAGGCTGGGCAGGACGAAGCCCGAGGACAAGGAGTGGCTCTTCAGARACGAGAAGCCACTGAAGAGGATCAAGGACGTGGGCAGGGACGGCGGCMGGGCCTTCCGGGAGGAAAAGGACCGGGCTGGCAGGGCTGAGCGGGAGAGGCTGGGCAAGGAGAAGTCCCCCAAGAGGCTGCGGCCATACAAGGAGGAGAGGAAGAAGAAGGCCCGGGACCGGCCCCCCAAGCCGGAGAAGAAGGGCGAGGCCAAGGAGAAGGCCCTGAAGGAGGACAAGGAGAGGCTCCGGAGGGAGAAGGCCTACAGGGAGGACGCAGCCTTCGACGACTGCTGCCACCGGGGCCACTTCCTGGAGAGCGAGGACACCAAGCTCAGCCTGTCCGACGACCAGCAGGACAGGTGRTTTTCAGACCTCTCCGACTCCTCCTTTGACTTCAAAGGGGAGGACAGCTGGGACTCCCCGGTGACCGATTACAGGGACATCAAGAGTGACTCTGTGGCCAAACTTATCTTGGAAACGGTGAAAGAGGACAGTAAGGAGAAGAAGCGGGACAACAAGGCCCGGGAAAAACGAGATCTCAGAGACTCTTTCTTCCGAAAGAAGGACCGGGACTACTTGGACAAGAGCTCGGAGAAGAGGAGGGACCAGGTGRAGAAGCACCGGGGCCTTCCCAGCTACCTCCCCGACAAGGACAAGAAGAGGAGAGAGTCCTCGGAAGGCACACGGGACCCACGGGACCGGAGAGACGCCCTGGAGGGCTCCAGGGAGCGGAAGGATGTCCGCCTGCGGCCAGAGGAGCCGCACAGGGAGGAGCTGAAGGAGTGTGGCTGCGAGGGCGCCTTCAAGGACAAGCCCGACTGCGACCTCGCCAAGAGCCTGGAGTCCTGGGAGCGGCACCACGCAGCCCGGGAGAAGGAGAAGAAGGAGAAGGCTCGCTCCGAGAGGCACAAGGACAAGTCCAGCGACAGGGACCGAGGCGAGAAGTGTCCAAAGGACAGAGACTTTGACAGATGCCTCAAGGAGAGGAAGGATGGCAAGGAGAAGCACAAGGACAAGGACACACACGGCAGAGACCGAGACAGGAGGGCCGGCCTCGACCAGGCCCGGGAGAGGAAGGACAAGGCCTTCCCTGCAGCCGCCTCCGAGGACTCCTCTGAAAAGAGAGAGGAGAAGAAGGGGAAAGAGAAGAGCTGGTACATTGCAGACATCTTCACGGACGAAAGCGAGGACGAGAAGGAGGAGTACCTGGCCAGCGGGCTGCGGGCAGGGGAGGCCTGCGAGGCCCCCAGGGTGGACGCCCTCCAGGAGAGGGAGGACGGGAGGGAGCTGCCCGTGGCCGACAGGCACAGGAAGTGCCCCTCCGACAGGCCCCACGAGAAGCCCCGGGACAAGGAGCCCAAAGAGAAGAGGAAGGACAGGGGTGCCCCCGAAGCAGGCAGAGACAAGAAGGAGAAGGCCTTGGAGAAGCACAGAGAGAAGAGGGACAAGGACCGCAAGGACCGGGTCCTGGCCGACGCCACCCAGGAGAGGCAAAGCAGGCAGAGGCCACCAGACAAGGAGGAGAGGAAGCATCCCGGGGAGGACAGGGCCAAGGGCAAGCACAAGGAGAAGCCGGACCGGGAGCGGAGGGCCTCGCGGGGCGCAGAGGCGGAGCGCAGCCTGCTGGAGCGGCTGGAGGAGGAGGCGCTGCAGGAGGGCAGGGAGGAGGCGCACGACAAAGCCAGCGAGGGCTCCTCTGACAGCTTTGCAGACCGCGGCCCCGAGCCCGGCCTGAGCGCCCTCCTAGAGGTGTCCTTCTCAGAGCCGCTGGAGGACAAGGCCCGGGAGGGCCCCTGCCTGGCGGAGAGGCTGAGGGAGAAGGAGCGGCACCGGCACTCCTCCTCCTCCTCCAAGAAGAGCCACGAACGCGAGCGGGCCAAGAAGGAGAAGGCCGAGAGGAAGGAGAAGGCCGAGGACTACAAGGACGGGGGCAGGAGGGAGCCCGGCCAGTACGAGAAGGACTTCCTGGACGCCGAGGCCTATGGCATCACCTACGCTGTGAAGGTGGACGGCGAGGAGGAGCTGGACAAGGCCACCGACGGGTTTTCTGAGAAGAGAGAGAGGAGCGAGCCCGAGAGGGAGCCTCCCAAGAAAGTGGAGAAGGAGCTGAAGCCTTTCGGGTCCAGTGCCCTCGGCTCCCTGAAGGAGAAGAGGAGGAGGGAGAAGCACAGGGAGCGGTGGCGGGAGGAGAAGGACAAGCACAGGGACAGGCACCACAAGGAGGAGCCGCGGCCCACCGTCCGGGACAAGGAGAAGGGCAGGGAGGAGGCCCTGAAGCTGGGTGAGGCCAAGCCCAAGGARAAGCCCCGAGAGGGCACAGAGAAGGAGAGGGGCGACCCCACCAAGATCAGCAACGGCATGGACAAGCTCCCGCCACCCAGAGACCCAGGCAAGAAGGACGCCAGGCCCCGGGAGAAGCTGCTGGGGGACGGCGACCTGATGATGACCAGCTTTGAGCGGATGCTGTCGCAAAAGGACCTGGAGATTGAGGAGCGGCACAAGCGGCACAAGGAGCGCATGCGGCAGATGGAGAAGCTGCGGCACAGGTCTGGGGACCCCAGGCTCCGGGAAAAGGCAAAGCCCGCGGATGACACCCGCAAGAAGGGCCTGGATGCCGCGCCCAAGAAGCCCCTGGGGCTGGACCCGCCCTTCAAAGAGAAGAAGGCCAAGGAGTCAGCTGCGACACCACCTGTTCCTGAAAGCAAGCCCCCGCCAGGACTGGGTGCCGAGGCCAAAGACTGGTCAGCAGGGCCGCCCCTGAAGGAGGCCCTGCCCGCCTCGCCCCGGCCCGAGCAGAGCCGGCCCGCCGGGGTGCCCACTCCAACCTCACTGGTGTCGGGTCCCAGCTACGAGGAGCTGCACACGCCCCGGACCCCGTCCTGCAGTGCCGACGACTACCCCGACCTGGTGTTCGACTGTACCGACACCCAGCACCCGCTGCCCACCACCAGCGCCTGCTCCCCCCCGCTCTACGACAGGTTTTCTGTGGCCTCAAGCGGGGCTTCAGAGCACCCGGGCCAGACACCCACGAGGCCCGTCCCCACCAACCTGTACCGCTCCATCTCCGTGGACATCAGGAGAACCCCTGAGGAGGAGTTCAGTGTGGGGGACAAGCTGTTCAGACAGCAGAGTGTTCCTGCCGCCTCCAGCTTCGACTCTCCCGGCCAGCACTTGATGGAGGACAAGGCTGCCCTGCCACCTGTTCCAGCAGAGAAGTTTGCCTGCCTGTCCCCTGGCTACTACTCCCCTGACTACGGCCTCCCCTCACCCAAAGCTGCCATGGTCAGCAGCGCACCTTCCCCAGAGGCCGTGTTCCCTGGCCTACCAGCCAAGCCCTCCCCTGCCACTAGGGGCGACCTCTTGGCCCCAGCCATCGAGGGGGCCCTGCCCCCGGACCTGGGCCTTCCTCTGGATGCCACAGAGGACCAGCAGGCCACAGCAGCCATCATCCCTCCGGAGCCCAGCTACCTGGAGCCCTTGGACGAGGGCCCCTTCAACACTGTCATCACCGAGGAGCTGGTGGAGTGGGCCCATCCTGCCGCGGAGCAGGCCCTTTCCTCCACCTTGGTGGCCAGTGCCTCTGAAAACCCCGTCAGCTGGCCCGTGGGCTCCGACCTTCTGCTGAAGTCTCCACAGAGGTTCCCAGAGTCCCCCAAACACTTCTGTCCTGCAGAGACCCTGCATATCACTGTTCCAGGACCCTTCAGCACCTCAGAGCCCCCGTACCCCGTATCCCCCGGCTCCTACCCCTTGCCCGCCACCGAACCGGGCCTGGAGGAGGTCAAAGACGACGGGGCGGGAGCCATCTCTGTGGCCGTCTCCACCACAGAAGGGGCCACTGCGTATGCCACCCCTGCCAGACTGGAGTCTTTCTTCAGTGGCTGCAAGTCACTTCCTGAGGCACCCCTTGACGTGGCCCCTGAGCCCACGTGTGTCACCAYGGTGACCCAAGTGGAGGCTCTGGGGACCCTGGAAAGCAGCTTCCTGGACGGTGGCCACAGCCTGTCTGCCCTCAGCCAGGGCGAACCAGTGCCCTGGCATGATGCCTTCACCAGCCCCGAGGATGACCTGGACCTGGGGCCCTTCTCACTGCCCGATCTCCCCCTCCAGCCCAAAGACTCCTCAGATGTCCAGACCGAGCCCGTGGAAGGGAGTCCCGTCCCACCAGAGGAGAGCGCCCCTGGGGCTGAGGGGCAGCCCATACTGCCTCCTGACCAGGCCTCTCCCCCACTTCCCACCGAGTCTGAGCCCTCAGAGGAGCCAAAGCTGGACGTGGTTCTCGAAGCCGCGGTGGAGGCAGAGACTGTGGCAGGCGAGAGGACCCCCGAGGTCTTGGACTCTGGCTCGGCACTGGCCCCCGGCCCTCCCGAACAGTGTCCCCTGGGGGGCGGAGCTGAGGAGACCAAGACTGAGGACCCCTCCGCCACTCCCCATCATGCACCCGACGGCCCTGCCACCGATGGCATGGCACAGACGCCTGACAGTGCTGAGGTCACCCCTGCTGCCATCCCTGTGGAGGGGCCCCCAGGCAGCCTCCAGCCAGAAGCTACGGATCCAGAGCCCAAGCCCACTGCCCAGCCCCCGAAAGCCCCCAAGGTGGAGGAGGTCCCTCAGCGCATGACCAGGAACCGCGCTCAGATGCTGGCCAGCCAGAGCAAGCAGAGCACACCTCCTACGGATAAGGAGCCCGCCCCCACGCCCACCCCAGCTGCCAGGGCCAAAGGCCGTGCCTCTGAGGAGGAGGATGCCCAGGCCCAGCACCCCCGCAAGCACCGCTTCCAGCGCTCCAGCCAGCAGCTGCAGCAGCAGCTGAACACAAGCACGCAGCAGACGCGGGAGGTCATCCAGCAGACACTGGCCGCCATTGTGGACGCCATCAAGCTGGACGACATTGAGCCCTACCACAGCGACAGGTCCAACCCCTACTTCGAGTACCTCCAGATCCGAAAGAAGATTGAGGAGAAGCGCAAGATCCTCTGCTACATCACGCCCCAGGCACCCCAGTGCTACGCCGAGTACGTCACCTACACCGGGTCCTACCTCCTGGACGGCAAGCCGCTCAGCAAGCTGCACATCCCWGTGGTGAGTACCACCCTGCCTGCCTGCACGCGCACACCCTGGCATAGGTCTCTGGGCCACCTCACGGCCTCTGGGGTCAGGAGAGCTGCCAGGGTCTGTGCCTCCATGGATGGCTGGCCCTGGCCCCCAGCCCGCAGCCCCAGCATTTCTGCAGCTGCTCGCAGAGTCTCACCTGCACCCCTCCCGTCCCGTCGCTGTGTCTCTCTGGAGCCTCGAGCACCTCAGTGGGTCCCACCTGCTCTGCCCGTCTCCCCTGCGCCTCTCCAGCAGGCTCCCCACAGCGTGTCAGGCCCTACCAGGGCCTGGGCCTTCCTAGACAGGCTGCTTCCCACTTGTCCTCTGGGGTCCTCTCAACTGCAGAGGCAAAGGAAGCTCTTCTCCATCTCTGGCCGTGAGCCCCCAGGCCCCTGGGGCCTCTCCCCTCACTGCAGAGCTGACTTTCTGTGTGGCCACCTACCCGTGGAGGAAAAGCCAGGGCTTCTGTTGTTGACTCTCTGGGCCTGGCTGGACTCCGTCCTGGTTGCGGAGCCGAGGCCTTCTGACCTGCAGGTGGAATGAGGAAGACGGTGCTGCAGGGCCTTGCTCCCTCAGAGGCTGCTGCTGGACAGGAAGCACAGCTGCCGGGTGTCCCCTCTGAGCGAGGGTGGGTGTTGGACGTGGGCTTCTCCTGGGTTTTCCTSGAAGGGGTTGAGTTTAGCAGCAGCAGGGCCAGGCCATGTTGCAGCCACGTGTTCCCCCAAGGGGCATCCAGGAGCGCTGAGCCCTGCAGGAGGCCCGCACAGATGATGGTGTGGGCCCCTGCACTCAGACAAGTCAGGTCTGAAGTGTCTGTTCAGTAAGACCTCTTCCTACTTTCTGAGGTTGCATTTATGTCTCCATTACCCAAACAGAGTGACGGGGCTGCTGTGAGAAATTGGAGGGAAAGTAAAGGACCAAAGGTTGTGGTAGCCCTTCCCACAGCCCAGCCTTCAGTGTGGGCTCCTCCCTGTCTCCACCTCATCCTGCAGACCCTTGGGTGAAGCAGGCACACGCCTGCTGCTGTGTCTGGTATCCTGGCACATCCAAGTCCCTCAACCCATCTGGGCCCATCAGGGGACGAGATGGGCGAGGTTTGAAGGCTGCAGAGACCTAGCTGCACCTTCTGTTTTGAAATGATTTTAGATTCACAGAGGAGCCCCCAACTCAGAACCTCGGAATGCTTATAGAGCCATGCTGGTGCTGTCTGTGGGATACCTGGTTCAGTGGTGGACGGGGCCTGTGGTGGGCACAAGACCCTCTTGGGCAGTGCTGATCATCTGTACAAGTGTCCTGTGATGGGACCGAGACCCGTGTCAGGGGCTGGATCCCCATAGTCACGGCCTGGTCCTGGGCACAGCTGGAGGGTTTCTGGTGTCTGGCTTCTGGTCATTGGGACTAATCTGAAGCCGTTGGGTCGGGTGCCTGGGCCGGGCTTCTCTGCCAGAAACGCTGTCTTCTTCTCGTTTGTTCCAGTCTCGGGGAAGACTTCAGGGCTGGATGTGGATCCTTTTTTTTCTCACACTCTTGCCCCTGACACCGCCCTGCAGCAGTGTCTCTGCTGTGCTTCCTGCAGCTGGGGACCCTGTCCATGCCTCAGGGTCTTGCTGTCAGCAGGAGCCTCCATGGGCCTGTGGTTGATCTCAGCATCATCACACATCACCAGGCTGCCCAGGGCCTGCAGCTGCCACTRTCTATTGCAGATGCCCTCCGGCCCGCCCCAGCCTTGCCTTCTCTGCCAGTTCCTTCCATGGTCGGAGCAGGCACCACACATCTGCCCAGGTCCTGTGCACCCTGCGGGTTTTTTGTGTGCCAGCTCTGGGAGCCTGGCCTCCAATTCCTAAGAGAGGAGGCCTATTCCTCGTCACCTGTGGTGTACACGCTTGCCTGCTGGTGTCTGGCCACCATGGTCAGCCTCAGAGCCTCCCCCATGGGGACTGGGGTGGGCTCTCTTCCCTTCTCAGCAGCCAGGCAGCCTCAGGCACTGGCGTCCAGGTTCCATTTTGGGTGCGTAGGCCCTCACTGGACCCCACGGGGCTCCCTRCTCCTGCTGTGCTGCTTTGGCACATAGGGTACACACACCTCTCTCTCCTCCCCCTTGCCAGCAAGTGCTGTGTGCCCTGCCTTCTCCCTCACCGTCTCCTTGCTGTGCAGGGTCAGAGGTGCTTCTCAGGAGGTGCCTGGGTGGGTGGGTGCTCTGGGCAGGGCTCCGGCCCCACTGACCCATTCCCCTTGTGCATGCAGATTGCACCCCCCCCTTCCCTGGCGGAGCCCCTGAAGGAGCTGTTCAAGCAGCAGGAGACGGTGCGGGGAAAGCTGCGTCTACAGCACAGCATCGAGCGGGTAAGAGGAGGTCCAGGCATGGGGGCCACTGCTGGGGGCCTGCGCTCACCCCTCCTCCCCCTCGCAGGAGAAGCTGATCGTGTCGTGTGAGCAGGAGATCCTGCGGGTGCATTGCCGGGCGGCCAGGACCATCGCCAACCAGGCAGTGCCTTTCAGTGCCTGCACGATGCTGCTGGACTCTGAGGTCTACAACATGCCTCTGGAGAGCCAGGTGGGTGAGCCGGCAGGCCTCACACGCCAGGCAGCAGAGCAAGCACGAATCCAAGTGCTATGCTTAGATCAGGACTGCCCCAGCTTCCCGTAGTTGGCACACTGGGACCCAGGTGTCCCCCAGACTGCTGGACAGGGCCTCAGCCAGTGTGCAGCTCTGAGTCCTAAACTTCCCCTGGGACACTTGCGAAGCCAGGGTGAGCCGCTGCCCTCCCCATCGAAGGCCCCAGCGGGTCGGGGTTTCCCATCTGAACCTCAGCTCAGCCTGCAGCTGAGAAGCAGCTGGACCTGTGCAGCCCAGGCTGTGCCAGCAAGCCCTTCCCCTGCTGTGAGCAGTGCTTGGCTGGGCCTGGGGCAGGCTGGAGCTGCATGACCCAGGACTGCCTTGCCTCCCACACCCACTTTGAGTGCTGGCTTCCAGCCCGTGGCCTGTCACTGACTGCGTGGCAATACTCCAGAGCTCACCTGGGGACTCCCAGCCCTGGGGAGCGTTTCCAGTGTCTTGACCTTTCCGTGTCCATGGCTTTATGCTGGGACCTCTAGACGGATGCCCTGGGTCCCACGGGCCCCGGAGGTTTCGCAGTAGAGCCTTGGTGGGCTCCAGTTAAAACGTTCCTAGTGTGTTAAGGCTCCCCTRCCCTGAGACGTAGATGCTTTCCCATTTATGTGACACACAGGTTTTCTTTAAAGCAAAGCAGTTTGTCAAGAAGCTGTAAAGCAGAGGTTAGCTGGGGACTAAAGGAGTGTTTTGTGACTATTTGGAAGTTTTGCTCTTTGCATCAAAAAGAAAAAACCACTAAGTAATTTCCTGGGTCTCTTTTGAAGGTCCAAAGGAAAAAATGTTCTCTCTCTCTCTCTTTTTTTTTTTTTAATTAGTATGGATAAACATACTACCTTTATGTGTTTATTTTATGTGGTGCCGAGAATAGAACCCAGTGCCTCACACATGCTAGGCAAGCGCTCCACCACTGAACCACAGCCCCAGCCTAAAAGACTGATGGTCAGGCTGAGGCCTCTTCTGCAGTACCTTGCTGACAGTCTGGGCACGAGGTGCCCAGAGGCCACCGGCCTTCTGTTCTGAGAGCCTTTGGCATGTTCTTTCCAGGGTATGCAAGGGAGGCTGGGCACCTCCTTCCCAAGGGTGCCTGTGCCTGGTCCATAAGTGCAGACCCATTTGTTGGGGTGAAAGTGGGGCTATGGGTGAGGAGGAAGCGGTCAGGACCACAGGATATGGAAGCCAGTGGGGAGGGCAGAACCAGGCTGCCCAGGGCCTGCAGCTCCCACCTCAGAGAAGGGAGATGCGTTTCTGGAAAGTGGGGAGGTTGCCTAGGCAACACCAGCAGCTTCGTGTGATCCCTGTGCCATCTGTTGGAGCCTCTGGAATGGAGACTAGGGTCGAGGGACCTTACTCCATCCCACCCAGGACACGAAGCACCCCACTGGAAAGCCCCACTGAGGCRCAGCCCCTGTCAGCACTGCTGTGCTAGGGCAGGTCCCGAGTGGCTGCTGGGGGCCGCTGATGCCCAGGAACAGCCTCTCCAGGGAAGATGGGGGTTGGGGGGTCATCCCCTTAGCCCTGGACCAGGGTAACCTCCTGAGGTGACCACACCTCTGCTGGTCACCTCCCCAGCCCTCTTCCTCCAGACACACCTCGTTTGATTGACAGGGCGACGAGAACAAGTCCGTACGAGATCGCTTCAATGCCCGCCAGTTCATCTCCTGGCTACAGGATGTGGATGACAAGTACGACCGCATGAAGGTGGGTGCCACAGGCCGGTGGCTGGACACCATGCATGCCTTGCCAGCCCTGCCCGCCCCCCCCCCCCACCACCACCACCACCACCACCAGCATGCCACTACTAGCAGCCATGTGACTTGCCAGTTTTACAGTTTCAGCTGCCCTGGGTCCCAGCCATCACCTGGCTCAGTGGGAGGCACAGTCACAACAGGCCACTGTGGTTTACACAGCCTGGGGGTGGGGTGGGGGGCTGCGGCACCCTCTCTGCCTGTGTCCTCTCAGCTGACAGAAGACCCAGGGAGACCCTACCTGAAAGAGAATTAGGCTTTGCGCATTTCCACACCACTTTATTAATGCAGACTTTTGCAAGAAAAGTAGACTGGGAAAAAAGAATCTAAAGGAGGTAGCCCGAGAGAAGGGAGATAAAATGGCCAAACTTGGTGAGAAGATGTTCAGTGCAGCCATTAGTCTCACAACCAAAAATGACATGACCTTTAGAAGAACGCAAGGGGCTGGGGCTGCTGCCGTCTCCCTGCAGGTTCTGGGAGCGTCAGCTGGTGTGGTCCACCCTAAGTCCAGCAACTGACAGCCCAAAAGGCGCCAGGGTGGCCCTGCAGGTCCCCGCCCGCACGTGCACTTGGGCAGTAGCTCAGTTTGGGCTGTGAAGGCAGAGGAGGAACTTGGGGCACTAGAAAGATGAAGTGGGGGGCTGGGCTGGGCTGTGGCTCAGTGGCAGAGCGCTTGCCTAGCATGCAKGAGGCTCTGGGTTTGATTCTCAGCATCTCACACAAATAAATAAAATAAAGGTCCATCAACAACTAAAAAATATTTTAAATAAAGAATGTTGCAGCCACAGCCTTGTCCAGTCCTCAGGGGCTGCTGTGGTGGCTCTCAAGCCCTAGCAGACCCCCAGTGCAGCACAGCCGTGGGGCGGGGTGGTAGACGCAGGGCAGTCAGGGGCACAGACCATCCTGAGGGGCCGTCTTCCCGATGAGCAGCACCGTGGCTAGTTACAGAAAGGTCTGTGTCATGCCAGGGCAGTGGGCCATGGGCAGTCAGGTCCAGGCCGCAGCCTGCTGTGCATCTTGCCCTACAGAGGCAGCCAGGGCCGCGGGTGGCATCTGGGACCCTCACCCGTGTGTGTCCTGCAGACCTGCCTCCTGATGCGGCAGCAGCACGAGGCCGCAGCCCTCAATGCCGTGCAGAGGATGGAGTGGCAGCTGAAGGCACAGGAGCTGGACCCCGCAGGGCACAAGTCGCTGTGTGTGAACGAGGTGCCCTCTTTCTACGTGCCCATGGTCGATGTCAACGATGACTTTGTGCTGCTGCCAGCGTGACACCAGGGGAAAGTCGCAGGACACCGGCAAGGGCCGTAGTCACCAGTGCTGCTGAAGTGCCCGCAGTGCAGGAGGGCACCGTGCCGGCCAGGTGGGAGGAGCCCAGAGACTGCACCTGGCCACACGCCTCGCCTGCCAGACCAGCCCGGAGGCCAGGAGACCAGAGTCTTTACCAGCGGTGGCAGGGAGAACGGGCCCCCACGCTGCAGTGCCTCGTTGGCCCAGCAGGAGGAGGAGACCATGGCCCATCCAGAGGGGCACCTGGGTCCCTCCCAGCCAGCCGCAGGCAACCGAGGAGCAGGAGAGTGCGCTTTTGAAGTCCCTGCTCCCCTCTGATCAACTAAAGGAAACGACTGAGGCGTCCACCTCGCACAACAGTGACCTCTGGTCGGGGGCAGGAGTGTCCGCCCGCCACGGTCCTCAGGACAGGCTGGGWCACTGAGGTCGCTGGTGCCAGGCGAGGGCCACCTGCYGGCCACAGAGGGACTCAGCCAGGACTYTCCAATAGTGTTTTTAATGGAGTCAAATCCACGTGGTTTGTATATTTTTTTCCTTTAATCTTGGGCATTTTGTTTCTCTTTCTGAGAACGTAACTTGAAACACTAATCCTATAGAGAGAGCCAATAATCCTATAGAGAGTATCCGCGAACGAACGCTGTACAGTTTTATATACATTCACAATGTACTTTTGCTGCCTTCTAGATAATTTATTTTGCAACACATTACTGCACAGTTGTAAATAACTTATGTACTGTAACATCACTTTCAGTTATGTGTAAAGAAATAAATAAATTAATTAAAATGCTTCGCCTCTGTGTGTGGTTGCTCAGGAGGTCCAGCCTCTGCTGGGGAGGTCGCTTCACCTGGAAACGCATCCCCCGGGGCTCCCGCTCCTCCCGCCACCCCATCCCACCATTATAGGACCATGGCCTCGGAGAGGCCTCCCTGTCCCCTCAGCTGAAGACAGCTGGGCTCTCGCCACCACCTGAGCCCGCGCAGGGTCTTTTCCCATGACCGGGCAGCTGGAGCCCCACTGGGAGATGCCGACACTGGTCAGAGGGTGGGCCCTCCACCTCGTGTTTTTCCCGAGCAGAAATGGTGATCCTGCTGTTGGGAGGGGCCAACAGGCCATTCATCCCTGRCCTGTGGGCCCCTGCAGGCAGTGGCTCCTCTGCTACCTGCCTCAGTAGGGGRAGCTACAGGAAGGGCCCCCCAAGGGAGCGAGGAGGAGTCCCTGTGTCCTGTGAGCTGAGCTGGGTGAGCCATCACCCCACAGGCCACGGGATCCCTCACCTGCCAGCCAGCCAGCTGGTGCTGCAGGGCATCCTGTGGCACAGGGTCCTCTCAGGACAGACAGCACCCTGCCAGCGTTGGGGCTTAGGCTCAGACAGGAAGGAACGAGAAGAGCCATTGGCTCATCGGCAGCCTGGAGTAGGTGAGGGGTTGGAAAAGCCAAGAATAGTTTTCTTCTTACGGAGGTGGTTCCTGAGGCAGGGCTGGCCCATGTGTGACTCGGCAGGAGAAAGGGTCCCCTGCGGGTGGGACAGCTGCCTCCCACCCCACTTCYTCCCCCAGGGAGGAGGGGCCCAGAGGAGGAAGCCCCTGGGCAGCATGTTGCCACAGACACCTGGAGCTACTGATGGTCACCTGCATGGCTTGCTCAGCCCCAGCCCTGCTGCACCTGGCCTTCGCTGCTTATGCCACTGGGCCCTCCCCACAGGCAGGACAGTCAGCAAGGCCTGCAGGCACTGCCCACTGTGTTCTGGGGACAGAACTGCTGGTCTCCACAAAGTACTGTGTGGCGTGACTCCAGTTCCGTGAGGTTGAAATGGGGAAAGGTAGCCTGAGCAGAGGCCCCCGGGGCACTGGCACCATCCTGTCCTTGACCTGCCATTGACCAGTGGGTATTTGAAGTTGGTTTATTTGTTTTAATAAGGGATGGAAGAGATTTCTCCAGAGATGCTGAAAAGCAGGTGGGGTGCAAAACTACAGTGGCAGTCAGAGCCACTTAACCTCCCAGAGTGCCCCCAGAACGGGTGGTGAGTGAGTGACAGTCACACAACCTGGTAAGGTGGTGCCCTGTCAGACCAGCGCCTCCAAAGATCAAGCAGGTCTGTCTGCTGACAGGAAATCAGACAGGGCCTCCAGGGCAGTAGAGCAAGTGCTGGTGGAAATCCCTTCTCCACACTCGCAGTGGGTTAGGCTGCTGAGACCACCGTCAGCATGTGGGAGACCCAAGGCCAAGCCTCAGGGTGTGCTGACCTTTCCAGCCTGCCCTGCACCTCTCTCACTGGTGACACCTTGGGAACCAGTGGCCTGGAGCCAAGGGCTGCCTGTGCACAGGGCCACTGCTGTGACTCGATGTGCCTGACGGCTCCGTGGAAAGCCACGGGGCCTGGTGTGACTAGACTGGCTTGGAATCTACTCCTGGGGAGGGGGAACGCCTTCCTCCACAGAAGCAGACAGCAGTGACTGTTCATATCACAGCTGCCTGGGGGAGAGGAGAGACCCCTGGGGACACAAGCTCCGCGTGCCGGGGGCTAGAGAAGTCCATGTCCACGTGCAGGCCTGTGCACACCCAGGGCAGCTGAGCACATTCCAGCTCCTCACCTGAGCGTCAGGCCTGGTGCAAGATCAAGGCTGAGGCACAGCAGTGACCTACCAGAGCGCCAAGAAGCACCGACCGAGGACATACTGGGCCAGGGCCACTAGCTGAGCACCAAGCCAGCTGGCTGCACGCTGCAGCAGCCCCCAAACACCCAGCCTGGGGGGAGTTGCCTCCTGGACTATGTAAAATGTCTAGCTCTCAACCCAGTGGTCCAAGGACAGCACCCCCAGGAAGCCCAGGCGCTGAGCCCACCAGAGACCCAACACYGGCTTCTGCAAGTGGATGTCCAGAGCACACCGGAAACCAGGTCTGAAGAATTACAGTGACCTGTAGAAACAGAGCCAGTAGATGGAGAGGAGTTTAAAAGCAGCCGACGGAAATTTCACTGGTGGAAAATGGAATCACTGAATTTCACTTGGTRGAAGAGAGAATTGGCAGACCAGGCAGGTGGGCCGAGATGGAGTGTGAGGAAGGGAGCCACTCGGCTGCTGGGTGCCAACGGGTGTGCGGGACGTGAGGCTGTGCTGGAGGGAGAAGGGGGCACCCAAGCTCATGGACAAGACGAAGCAGGGCCAACAGGAAGAGACCTGTGTGTGGACACRTCATGACTGAACTGTCCAGGCAAAAGGGAGAGGGTCCTGACTGCAGCAGGGACCAGCAGATCAGCCAGTGTCCAGAGTGAGTGCTGCAGAAAGTTAATCCAGACCCAGGCCTCACGGCCGTAAAACCCCTCAAGACAGCTGGGAGGCCCCTTGATGGCCTTGGGTTTGGTGACCTAAGGCACCAGCCATGAGAGAAGAAGCAAGACTTCATCCAAGTTAAAGACACGTGCAGCAGGGGTGCAGCTCAGCCAGAGAGCTCTCTGGTTTCAATCCCCAGAATCACAATTTAATAAATAAAAATATGTCTATCAAAAAAGAGGAAAAACCGGGTCTGGGCTTGCAGCTCAGTGGCAGAGTGCTTGCCTAGCACAGGTGAGGCGCTGGGTTCAATCCTCAGCACCACATAAAAAAATAATGTCCATCTGCGACTAAAAAATATATTTTGAAATAAAGGAAAAATCGGTTCTATTTCTACATATTAGTAATTAAAAATCTGAAAAGGATATTTAGGAAATAAATAAAAGAATAAATAATTAGGAATAAAGTTAGCCAATGGAGTAGAAGCATTGTACACCCTAGCATGTGTGAGGCACTGGGTTCGATTCTCAGCACTATATGTAAATAAATGAATAAAATAAAGGTCCATCGACAAAAACTTTTTTTTTAATTTAAAAATAAATTGAAAGATAGCCTGAAGATATTTCCATCCCCTGTACCCAAAATAAACCAGCTAGCCGTCTTGGAAAAGAAAACAAAGCCCAGGGACACCCACTCCTCAGTTTCCAGACTCTGCACCTGGCTAGGGCAGAAAGAAAGAACCCCGCAGGGGAGGCCCCAGGAGGGTGCCCACTCAGGGGACAGACCTGGAGACCACGCAGAAGCCGGTTTTAAGGAAGGTACCCGCGTGTTTCCACAAACAGTGCTCAGAGAGGTGGTGGTCCACACGCCACGTGACTAGGTTACCCCCGTCTCACTCCACATACAGAAATAACCTGGCTGAGAGCAGAGGGCCTGCCTAGCACGCAAAGGCTCTGGCTCCAGGCCCAGCACCAACAAAACAAAACTCACATTTTCCAGGTGCAGTGGTGCATGCTGAGATCCCAGCAACTCAGGAGACAGGCAAGAGGATCACAAGTTCAAGGCCAGCCTCAACAATTTAGCAAGGCTCAAATAAGGGCTGAGAATGTACCCATGCTAGGTGGAGCCCTTGGTAGCAGGTGGGAGGCCCTGGGCTCCATCCCCAGCACCACAAAACAAAGACCCTGTCAAGAGTCAAAAGGCAACTTGAGAATGGGAGGTAAGGGGTTAATATCCAGAGAATCCCTAAAGCTCAGTAACCAAGCAGACCATCCCATCTGGAAATGGGCAAGAATCCTGAGTCAACACTCCTCCAAGAATCACAAGACGCCAAGAAGCACGGTGGACGATGCCAGCCGCCACATTTGGAAACGCAGAACCACCCGAGGCACCTTCTGCCCACCAGCAGCCTTCTCTGCGAGGACACACAATGATGCTGGGAGGCTGTGGTGGCCTGCAGCCCTTGGGCACAGCGGGTGGGAACAGGAAGTGGCTCAGCGGCTCAGAAGATGGTGTGGAGGGGCCTCGGAAAGCTGAAGTCCACACGCCAATGGGAATTGGAAAGAGGAGTTCTACTGGCTTTTGCAGTTCTGGGGACTGAACCTAGGGATCGATCCCTCCCCAGCCCCTCACCACGTGCCCAGGCTGGCCTCAGATCTGCCTCAGCCTCTGGGGACACTGGTTCTGGAGACATCTGCCACTGCGACCCACAGGAAGAAGGTCTGGAAGAGATCTGTGACCATGTTCCCAGCAGCAGTTGAGTACCATAGCTAAATGTGAAAGTGACCAGAGTCCACTCTCCGGTCAGTGAGTGAGCCAAGCATGGCCTAGCTGTGCCATAGAATATCCCTTCACCTTAAAAAGCAAATTCTCTTTCTCTCTCTCTCTCTCTCTCTCTCTCAGATGGGTCTTGCTGTGTTGCCCAGGCTGGCCTTGAACTCAAGGTCCTCCTGTCTCAGCCTCCAAAGTAGCTGGGATTACAGGTGAGCACCACCACACCCAGCTAACAGGGAAATAAAGGAAATAAGTTCTGACACATGCTACTCTGTGGGTGAACCTGGAGCACTTTATGCTAGGAGAAGCCAGTCACAGAAAGACTGACCCTGGCTGGTTCCACATAGAAGAAACGGAGTCCTCCAAATCAGAAGTGGAGCGGTGGCCACCAGGGCCAGGGAGGGAGACGGGGWGCGGCTGCTTAACAGGGAACCCTTCCCATTTCACAAGATGCAGAGGTGGACCTGGCAATGGCTGCACATTGTGACTGCGTCTCCCACCACTGACCTGGACACATGCACCACACATCCGGGAAGGA